CTTGATTTTTTACGCGAAGCAGGCAATTCAAACAATTTAAAGCTTCATACAGATTGCGTTTAAATACCTGTCTAGGAGCAGAGCTGCTAATTCCATGTCCAACTTCATCTGCTTTACCAGTAATAAATTACTCCATCTTGGAAAAGTGCTTCCAGTGTTTATTCTGGTTTCACAAAGCACAGAGTGCTTGTTTGCTCACAGCGGAATTATCTAGGAGAATTATTATATTGGAGATTTCAGACTTAGAATGAGGTGGAGTGAAGGGGAGTGTCTATAACATGACTGACAGGAGGCTCATATAAACACAAACAAGCACTCCAGACTGTAGCACAGGTTTCCAAAAGTGTCTTTTAAGCTACATAAGACACTTGTGCTGAGGCCATGGCTTAAACAATTATTTCTGTTTATTTATGTTCTACACATTTAACAGGTTGTAAAAGCCTTTAATGAGAAAACAGCTAACAAGTAAAGAACCTCAAAACAGGTAAAACTCCAGGAGATGAGTATTTCATCAACAAATTTTATATGATGATCTGCGGGGTCCAAGCACTCATCACAAAAATAGCACCCCTATTGACCGGTTCTTACCAAGATACATAGAACAATGAAGGGACCACAGATGAACATACATACATCAAGTTTTGTGATGATGGATGCCAGTTTTGTGTGATGAAATCTGATTGGATGAAGGGGCTGCGTTTTTGAAATAATTAGGTCATCCTCAAAATTCCAGTTACAGATTACCACATAGAAGCAGCATACCAAATTTCAGCTCAATGGGACAATTGAGAAACTTTTTTCTGACTTTAGCCCCTCCCCCTATGTATGACCACACCCCAAATTTGACCTTGGAGATGACCTCTGAATCTTGTCCTGTATATGGCTTTCAAGATTCATGTGAATCCATACAACAATCATGAGTTACAGCTGTTTGAGTAAATTAGGCTCTGCCTCATTAGAATTGATTGACATGTGGCAGCCATATTGTTTACAAATGTCAACACATTTTTGATTATTATTGAGTTTCACATTCTCCTGAGTAATTTCACACTAAATTTGTGAAGATCAGTCAAAAAACTTAAGACTAATTCGCAAAAGTAGGTTTTGCATATTATCCAAGTTAGCAAAAAACCTAAGTGGGCAAGGATAAATGGTGCTTTTTTGTTTGGGAAAACCCAAGGAATCAGTAGAAAAATGTATTTTTTTGAAGGACTCATGATTCATAGTGCCACCATTAGGCCAATTGGGCCCATCTCACCTGAGTGGCAGGAGGGAGTATTACCTGTAGACCAAGTTCTGTTTCATTCCTCCTGACCGCCAGAGACAGTGTTATAGCAGTGGATAATCGCAGATACTGTAGGTCAAAAAACATATACCAACAAAGTCACGTAGTGACGTGAGCTGAGCTGAGGGCATACAAGTCACTGCAGCTTAGCACCCCGTGTCTTTCGCTTTCTCGCCTTTGGATTAGTTCGTAGTGTTTTCAGTTTAATCATATCGTGAAATGCAGCTTTCTCCAAGCAGCGAAATCCCAAGCTGTGACAATATGTTTTTTGCATTTGATTGGATTATTTTTCCTTCATTACAACTTGTTGGTGAGATCTCACACGGTGCCACTTGCCTCATGGTTCTATCCGGGGGGTGTTTCCTGCGCCATTGGCTATCGTTGTAACCTGTTTTTGCACTTCACGGCTATAAACGAGCCGGTTGTGTGTGCGTGTGTGTGTGTTCCCCCGTGTCGGCAAGATTGCTTGAATTGGACCTGTCTTCATCACATCTTGATCAGTAAGGTTGTTTTTTTTTTTTTCTTTAACAGGCTTATATTTTCTGCACGATGTGTACCTCACGTTTCTATCCGGAGGCGTGTCACCCGTGTTTTAATGCTAGTTATTGAGCGAGTTTGTGTTTCGGCAGTCTCGTGTGTTATATATTGTGCTGTACACTGTGCATGCCGGTCCTAGCTGTGGGTGTTTGTCAAATTATTAATTTGGAGCGCGTACACTCTTCTCTCTGTTCCTCGCGGTTCATCCGGAGGTGAGTCATCCGGAGTATTTATTGGAATTCTTTGCTGTCAGTCCTCGTGGTTGTATCCAGAGGTTTTCTATTTTCGCCGTTCAAATGGCTTTCAGCTTCATTTGTACTGTATATCCTCTGAACTCCAAGCTCTGTCCTAATGAGCTTCTTCCTGGCGATGGGCATGGGGCATGATCTGTGTCCATCATGCCTGGGTGTTCAGCATTTGAAGGAAGCACTTACAGACGTGTGCCCGCATTGTAGCTTTCTGCTGATGTCGGCGAGACAGTTGCGTCTGGCTGGATTGGACCACAACCAGGACGCTAAGGTTTTGCAAGCAGATTTGGGTTCGCAGCAGAGAGCTCAGAAGCATCGTACCTCAGCAGCTGCTGGTGCTCCTCCAGCTTGAAAAAAATCTAGTTCTAGAGGAAATAATTTGGCAGTTCACCTGTTGTCAAAGAAGGCTGCTTTGCTTTTTCATCAGACATGGCAGAGATGAAAGGTCTCTTGCAGGCCCTCCAGCCAGCAGACTTATTCCCTGCTGCTGCTACAGCTGAGGACACTCACTCACATTCATCTTGTGAGGAAGCTACTGTTTCACCTTACACGCATCATAGCCCCCACATTGACGCTATATCTACATGTGCTTCCAACAGACATTTTCCAAGACAATCTTCTCATTGATGTTGCTGAGATTCAGGACAAGCCAGCAGGGTCCACATTAGCTGGTGGCTCTGGTGAGGATTCTCTTTACCTTTCAGGGACTTCTTCCCCTCCGATGGATGACACATTGGAGGTGCTTTGAATGGCAGTGGCCTGTCTTGGCCTTGATGAATGCCCTGCACACCCTGTTCAGTCTAAAGTGTTTTTTCATAGACCTTCACCTATGGATTAATTTGCTATGCCTGCTTATAAGGACTTTGTAGTGGAATTTTTGAGTGACCAAGAGGCATTCCAAGACTGCTTGCACTTTGGCTTCAATGGCAGAAGCAGAGTTCATTGTAATGCGGAACGTACCAGAAGTTGCTGCACTGGTGGTGTCACCAGATGAGGCATTGCGGGGGAACATACAGTGTCCTAGTGCCCAGTGTTGCCGCACAGATTCCTTTCTGAAGAAAGCGTACGAGTCAGTTGCCTACATCAGTTGTGCTGAGAACACCATTTGCCAATTGATATTGGCTGCTTCTAATTCTTTGGGGTCTGTGGAAGTGTCCCACACTGTCCTCTCTCCCACAGTTCTTGCAGACAGCCTTGCTGGCCATGGGGCACATGACATGATAACTGGGCTCTCTCACTGCAACACTCTTGACTGCTCACAGGCAGGTAGGGCTCGCTCAAGCCAAGTTGTCAGAAGATTGTAAGAAAACCCTGAAAGACCTATCCATCCTTCCCAGATATCTTTTTGGTCTCAACGTATCTGAGGTGTTGGAAAGGCGCATGAAGTTGTCTGCTGCCACCCAGAAGCTAACATAGGTGCAACTTGCTCCGAAATATAGGATGCCAACGGCACCTGCTAATCAGCCCTACACGCCTGTGCAGCCATGCTTTCATCACATGCCCTCTTACTGACCTCAGGCCCAGCAGAGATTTCCTGGGTTGGATGATGCCCAGATGCAACCCCCCATGGTAGTCCCACCCCCTGCCATGCCCCAGAGCCCCCCCCCCAACCACACACACACACACACCCACACATACACACACAAACACACAATTGCAAAAGGCAGAACCTTCAAGGACTGAGACCTCTCGGGCCAGTGGTCGGACATTTTATGGCACATCATCTGAGTTATTTGGAAGGCACAGGGTCAGATCCTTGGGTCTTGGCGACACTGCACAATGGATATACTCTGCAGTTCTGACACCAGCCCCCAATGTTTTCGGGATGCATCCCGACTGTTGTGGTAGACCCGATCCTTTCAGAAGCTCTCAGTGATGGAGGGAGATTGGTTCACGACAGTTGACCTGACGGATGCATATTTTCATGGTCCAATTGCCATACATCACAGGAAGTTTCTACGCTTCAGTTTCAAGAGCGAGATTGATCAGTTCAGGGTTCTAACTTTTGCTATCACTGGCCTTTTTGACAGCAGGCATTCCATTAGGAATTGTTCCCTATTGTTGGGAGATGGTAAAAACCGATGCATCCCTCATGGGTTGGGGAGCAGTTTGGAACCACAGGGGTATCAGTGGCAAATGGTCAAAGGACCTGTCTATGGATCACATCAACCTGCTGGAGATGTGTGCACTTTTTCTGGCCTCGAGACATTTCCTTCCAGTGCTAGCAGGCCGCCACATGCTTGTACGCTCAGATAATACATAGACGGTTTTCAATCTGAACCATCACGGAGGCAGAAAATCAGAGAGCTTGCTATGGCTCACTCACAATATCCTCACAGGGTCACTTTCACGGTTCTATGCGTCAACTCCCTTCTAGCAGACAGTCAACTCTCAGTCATTCACAGGAATGCTGAAGCAGGTGCATGATGGGGTGGAGGCAGAAGTTAGCACAGGTTCCCAACACTTGTAAAGATGAATATGGACCAAATTCTGAATCCAAATTTTTGGTTTGAAAAATAATGGTAAGTGATTGGTCAGTGTATGGAAGTAATCAGCTAGTGAAAACCAAGCTCTCCAAACAACTTGGTTCCATGGTGTAATGGTTAGCACTCTGGACTTTGAATCCAGTGATCCGAGTTCAAATCTCGGTGGAACCTGCATTGCCTTTGTTCAAGGTTCTGTACTAAAATAGACTATATTTGTTAACTGAAGCATCAGTTTGTGCCCCTTAACCTTTCCTGTGCTGAACTCTTGTAAAGACAAATATGGACAACATTCTGTTGAAGAATCGGAGCCAAATCTGCAGCTTTGGTTTTGAATACTACATCTTAGTCTCTGACCTATGGTTAGATGGTTAATCACAGCTTTCAAGCTATCAGAGATGATATGGTAGTATTCAGCTGGTGAAATGTAAAGGTTTCTTATAGCTTGGTTCCATGGTGTAATGGTTAGCACTCTAGAATTTGAATCTACTGTTCTGAGTTCAACTCTCAGTGGGACCTACAAAGCCAATGTTTGTAAAGATGTCTATAGACCCAATCCTGTTGAAAAGGCATCTGGTCCAAGGCTGCATCATTTTGTCCATGCAGTTAAGCTCATGGTCGGGTGAGCATCAGACTTGAACACATGCAAGTGGGAGGTTCATGCTTGCTCTATGTAGGTTGTAGTGGGCCAAAATTCTAGTTAAGATGTAGATGGATCAAGTATCTGGTCTTTGTTTGAGACAGTAACTGATTTTTTTTTTTTGTGCAGTGGCCAAAATAACTCAGGTGGGAGACTTTCCATCCAGTGATCTGAGTTCAAATCTCGGTGGGACCTGAAAAGTCTTTCAGATTCTAAACACTTGTAATGATGAATATGGACCAAATTCTGTTGAACATGAATATGGGCCAAGGCTGAATCTTTTGGTCCATGAAGTTAAGCCCATATGCGCATTGGCTGAAATATCATGGCTGGCGGAGTGTTAGACTGGAGTTCTGATGGTGGCAGGTTTGTGCTTGCTCTGTGTAGGTTGTAGTAGCCAAAATAGCTCAGTTAGCATTGACTTGAATATTGATTAAATATCAGTAGAACTTGCAAAGTCTTTACTCAAGGTTCTTTAGTATTGTAGGAAGAACAGTCCCTGGTTTGATCCCGGGTTTTGGCACTGGGGGATGTGTGTTGGTCACAACGTGTTAGACTTATGGGATAATTGCCGCTTGGCAGATATATCGGTCAGTATATGGTAGTAATCGGCTGGTGAAAACCAAACTGTTAAAGCTGCTTGGTTCCATGTTGTAATAGATAGCACTCTGGACTCTGAATCCAACAATCCAGATTTTGGTGGAACCTGCAAAACCTTTCAGGTTCCAAACACTTGTAAATATGAATATGGCTGAAACTCAAGGCTGAAACTTTTGGTCCATGCAGTTAAGCCCATGTGCTTATTCTGTTGAAGATGAAATTCTGTTTAAGATGAATGTTAGCCAATTCTGCACCTTTGGATCTGATTTTTGATTACAGTGTCTTAGTCTCTGGCAGTATATGGCTGTATTCAGTAATATGGCAGTATTCAGCTGGTGAAAATTAAATACATAAAGTTCCATGGTGTAATGGTTCGTTCTTTTAACTTTGAATCCAGTGATCTGAGTTCAAACCTTGGTAGAACCTGCAAAGCCTTTGTGCAAGGTCCTGTACTAAAGTAGATAAACTATCAACTGAACCATAGGTTTGCACCAAGTAAGCTTTCATGTCCCATACACTTGTAAAGATGAACACGGGCTGAGTCTGCAAAGATGGCTGCAGTTGCAGGTTAGTGCTTTTATTAAAAAGATATGCAGATAGATCCAAAAACAAGAGAACATGGTTGCAAACAGGCAAAGGTCAGGTGATGAACAAACAGATTTAAGCAGACTAAACCTGATTCCTAAAACCAGAAAACAAGTGATATTGAAAACCAAAATATCATGTACAAGAAAACAAGGTTTGGTAACGCAACAGTGGAACACATGACAATACTGCGAATCATTCGATTGTTTGTAGCTTATATAGCGTGAGTGTCCACAGGTGCAAACAATCAGTAATCAGATCAGTTGAAGCATGATATGAAGTGTGCGGCTTGCAACTTGTAGACCGTGGAGGCCATGTTGCTGCAATGCATTCTGGGAATTGGAGTTCAATGCCAGTTCCAGCATTGACATGACAAGGAAATTAAAATGCTATAAATCAACATCAAGAAAACTTGATGTGCTGTGTTAGACAGATCCAATCAACTCCTGAACATTCTCCTAGCTAAATAAAACCCCAGCTGCTATTGATGTTAAAGTTCAATCAGCTCAGCAACAGCTTCCATTAATACTGAAATTAATTCATAGTCTCCATATCTAATACTTATATATTGCTTATTAAGCACTGAATTCCTAAACAGAAACACTGAAAAAGCTCATTTGTTCAATAGAGTTTTCTGAATTAAGTGAATTCTGAGGACATTAAAGAATGTGTTGATATTTACATGGATGAAGCAGGTATTAACATTAATATCATGTCATGATGTCAATAATGTAACTGAAGAACTGCCTGTTTTAAGTTCATGTTAAATGAGGAATTGAAGTGAAATACAGTCTAAACATTACATCAAGTTTAAACTGTGAATCATGAGACTTTTTCAGAATGAGCTGAGGCTGAATATGAGGCTGTAGAAAGACTACCAGAAGATGCAGAAACAGCAAACAGCACACCTTTGGGTGAGTAGGAGCAATCACTCACACTGATATACCTCCTTAACTGTAAAATTCCTCCAACCAAGGTTAAGCAGCTCTTAATACTACATAGTGCTCCACAAATACTATCCATGTATTGCTTCTTAACACAACAGCTGAAAAGCTCAAATTTTGTAAGTTGTTTAATAGAAGCATTCTTATTTCAGGAGAAAGGATGAGCCAGAGGATGAGGGCAAAGGCTGAAGCTGAGGCCAGTAAAAAACTGATGGGCAGTTTCGTCGAAGATATTAAAACAAATGACAAACAAATGAGTTAATAAAGAACTGATACGGAAAGCTAACAATATTAATTAGATGAATGAAAATGGATGCACACTAAGGCCGTTATGGTACTGATGGGAATTGCTGGGGCAGAGGATAAAGCCATCAGTCAGCTTCTGGATGAGACAGAGGAAATAATCGACCTGCCTCTGGGTAAGAAAAGAAAATGAACTTGTACTATGGCAATAATAATTAAATTGCTAGGTTAAATACAATTCACATCGAAAAAGTGATTTGCAAATAATACAAACATATACGAATTAAAATGTAATGTGAGACGATAAACACGAGTAAAATGCTTCAAAATAGCATCATGAAATTTGATGTACTTGTGGCAATTGTGAGATTGCAGGATTTATTTAGAGAATGCCAGACAAAACAAAAGGGCAAATCCAACTTGTATTCAACAAATGTGCATGAGGTCAGGAAAGCTGCTAACAGGAATAAAGGTGGGCAAAACCAGAAGTTAAAGAATAAACCAGAGTCAAGAAAACAGGAATATCATGCACAAAGAATAGTAGGCTTGGATTCACCAAAAAAAAAAAAAAAGCTACAACCCCTGGCAAAAATTATGGAATCACCACACTTAGAGGATGTTCACCCAGCTTTTTTACTTTATAGCAAACAAACGAATCACAGATATGACACAAAAAAGGTTTTGTTCAATAGCTTAACATTCTGGCTTTGTGAAACATACATCAAAAAAATTCACTGACATTTTTTTTTATTAATGGCATGTCATTTTCCAAATCAAGTAGAGGAAATAATTATGGAATCACTCAATATTGAGGAAAAAAATTATGGAATCATCTTTTAATTTCCATTTCTAGTTCATCAGTTAAAAGGGAGTGCTTACACACCTTAACAAGCTATTGGACTTGACTAATTGAAAGGAAACATGGCTCCAACGAGAGAGTTGTCAGTTGAAACATTGGAAAGGATTATATTATAAAACTCCTTCAACATGGAATTTCAACACGGAGTGTGGCCAAAGAAGTTGGTTGCTCCCAGTCAGCTATGTCTAAAATTTGGGGCAAATATAAACTTAATGGGAAGATTATAAAAAGAAAACATACAGGCAGACTAAGGAAGACGTCAAAGCATCAGGATAGAAAACTCAAAGCAATATGCCTTGATAGAAAATGCACAACAAAACAAATGAAAAACCAATGGGTGGAAACAGGAGTCAGTGTCTGCGACAGATCTGTAAGAAACTGGCTGAATGAAATGGGATTTACATATAGAAAAGCCAAACGAAAACCAGCACTAACACCTAAACAGAAGAAAACAAGGTTACAGTGGGCTAAGGAGAAGCAATCATGGAGTGTGGATGATTGGATGAAAGTGATATTCAGTGATGAATCACGAATCTGCATTGGCCTAGAAGATGATGCTGGAACTTTTGTCTGGTGCCGTTCTAATTAAACATATGAAGCTGACTGCCTGAAGAAAACAATCAAATTTCCCAACTCATTTATGACATGGGATTGCATGTCAGGTAAAGGACCAGGGGAGGTGGCAGTCATTACCTCAGCAGTCAATGGACATTGAAATTCTGGACACTTTTCTCTTTACATCTATAGAAAATAGGTTTGGTGGTGATGAAGTAATTTTTCAGGATGACAACGCATCGTGCCACAGAGCAAACAGTGTTAAAGCTTTTCTTCAGGAAAAGCATTTCAACTCAATGACATGGCCAGCAAACAGTCTGGATCTCAATCCAATTGAAAGTTTATGGTGGATATTAAAAAAAAACTGATCCATAATAAGGCTCCATCCTGCAAAGCTGATTTGTCAACTGCTATTCGAGAAAGCTGGAACCAGATTGATGGGGAATATTGTTTTTCATTAGTGAAGTCTATGCCTCATAGAATTCAGGCTGT